CTCTCTCTCTCTCTCTCTCTCTCTCTCTCTCTCTCTCTCCTTCTCTTTTCTCTCCTTCCCTTCTCTCTTCTCTACAAACGGGGTAATAAAATAACACCCCGACGCGATCTTCCTCGTCCTAAATGCTGCGTTCTCGACGAAAGTACCCTCTCCTTTTTCTCAAAAAACGAGAGAAAGCGAACCGACTGAAGAAGTTAAAGTTTTCCCGCCGTCCGCCGGAAACCACCCTCCCTCGTCTCACTCCCGCACAGTTCGGGGGCCGAGCTTTAATCAGTTTTACCGGCTCCCTGATTCGTCGACCGGGATTATTGCGATCCTCTCGATTTTTCGTTATCGGAGCGCGAACGTGAGAGGCGCGGCGAGAGCGGCCCGGCAAGGAAATTGGAAAATGTAGATTAGGACGTGCGTCGAATATAGACACAATCCGACATGGAATTTAATAGCGTAACTCGCGGGAGGTAGGAGCGCAGAGAGCGCGCTGATTTGCGATGATCAAGTGTAAATAGAATCTGATTCGTTAGGTTCGTCGGTCGTGACAGGACACGAGGAATACGTCGAAAATTTAGTTATAGTTACGAGCGTTTAATATCGAAATCCTAGTCTATTCGAAACCTTTGACTGTCTACATTTTAAAATCATTGTCGAGAAAGTCTTGTTCCACAAATAGTTTACTTTTTCCATTGAATATTATTCGTTCGTTAGTGCCAGAGTGCACGGTGAATATCGAAAATTTTCGAGAACAAAACTTTTTATTAATTATCATGAAAATTATTTATTTCTTTTGATTAGAAAAGAAAGTAGGTTGCGCAAATAAGACATAATTTTAACTTTGTCTTTGTCATATCGCAATCCTTCCACAGCGAGCGTTTGCGCGCGCGATATACCGGCGCGGAATAATAGCACGAGACAGTTAGACGGCTGCTTTGTATTTCTCGAGGGGGCTGCTTCCGCTTTTCCTCACTCTGTCGAAGCGTGCCTCCACTCGAGCTCGCTCCTTCAGCCGCCGTAACCGGGTAGGAAGGTCGCGGTATCGGAGCGGCAAAAGCCAGAGGGAACGAACGGACGACTTTGTCCCACTTTGTATCCTTCGCGCCCTCCCGCGGGACGCATGATTAGCCATTTGTTTCGTCGTTTAATTTCGAGCCAGCAGCCCTTTCGTTATTCTCTCTCTCTCTCTCTCTCTCTCTCTCTCTCCTCTCTCTCTCTCTCTCTCTCTCTCTCTTTCTTTCTTTCTCTCTCTCGTTTCCCCGAACTTCTACTCCCCGCAGGAAAGCGGGGCACAATGAAGACTGATGCGGTTCGTGGTGCGAGGTCGTGATAAGGAAAACTGACTCTGGAGGAGTAAATCGCGGACGGAAAGGGAGACGGAGAAAAATAGAGAGTAGAAACGCAGTGGACTTAACAAGCTCTGAATAACTAGATGACGAACGTCTACTTTCACGGATCCTTGGGCGTGCAGAATTGCTCGTGCATTAGCGCGCGCAGCTATCTTCTTTTCGAACGTACGTTGCATTTAAAATGTTGCGAGGTCTCTTTTCATTCGTGCCGTTGTAACAATGCGCTCTTCTCGAAACATAATGGTAATGGCGTGCATTTTCGATGTTCGCACCCCGTCGCGTGTTGCTCGTCAACAACGTCGTGATGCGCAATCAAAAGTCCTCTCGCTATGAGACGCCTCCACGTCTCCTCGTTCGTTTTCTCCTTCCGTCTCTCGTGTCCTGGCCTCGTCTATCTACACAGGCCTCCAGTACGGCTCCAATATATCAAACTTCCGCCGTCGAAGCGTCAGACAATCGATTTAATCGCTGAACCGTGAGAGAGATTGCGGCGGCCTCCAGCCGAGCGCCGTCGCATAATGTAAAACCGACGAGAGAGGCTCGGCTCTGGCTCGACGCGACGCGACGCGATTCGAACGCGGAAAAATTCGATTTCCTTCGCCATTTTCTCGCATCACCAAACTCCGACTCTGCCGTTGTGCGAGATAAACCAATTTCCTCGGTACAATAAACAATTACGCCAAGATTAAACCATTCGCGCTTGCTGGCGCCGGGTTTTGCGAGTAACGCGAATAATCGATACGATTTATGTTACGCTGCCCGTCTGAATTTTTAGTTAAAAAATCATCGGTCGAAAATTAGCAAGACAAGTTGACGATCCGCAGTCAATTATTTTCAGTTGAACAGATATCGAGTGATAACTATGTACGACATTTCTCAAACTTGCTCGAGTTTCGGAACCATTCGCCGTTTGTCGGAGCTTACAAGTCGTTGCGAAGTTATTTCGGACTCTTTCTCCACGCAACTTATCTCATTCGAAGATGATACCGAACTCATAACTCAACTACGCGAGATACGCAATGATAAAGCTGACTCAATGGCGTTCCTTCACGCCGTGCTTTTCCAGTTTGTTCACCTGGACTTTAATGAATCGAGATTATTTACATTGACAAGGGGAATTTTAAGAAACTTATTACAAGTAAATTTTGCAAACAACGTAATTGCAAAATCACTTTTTTGTTGAATTAAGTTTCTTTTCCAATTATCAGGAAGTATTTTCAAGAAACGCAATTAAAGAGCATTGTTTCTAATCTAACTTTGCTATGTAATCCCGTTTTTTACTCTCTCTTTCTCTCCCTTCTGAAACGGATGCAAAATAATATCATTGCGCTACGAACTGCCCGCGGTTAAGCGGAATTCGGAGAGATTATATTGTCCGCATCTGAACGGAGCTGGAAACAGTTCCGACGATGAAAGTTTTTACGCATAGAACGGAGGAAGGACACCTTCTCGTGCGCCACCCGTGGTGAATACTCGATTCGCGATTATTATTGTGCGCGATTATTACGGAGTATCTACGCGAACTATCTGCTCTAGATATAGTTATTTTGCTGTAGAACGAGGTAGACACTAACAGCTAGATTATATAAGCTCGCCCGGAATATTCTGGTTGGACATTTTGCGACTGCAAAATATCGTCCGTGGAATTGCGAATTGAAACGAATTTCGAAACGCCTCAGAACATCACGAAATTATTTATGGGAATTAATGCCGAATATCCACGCCTCTCTATCTTTTCAGAGCCGAATTTTGTGGGCTCGTACGACATCGGCAGCCACGTGTTCTTCTTTTTCCGCGAAACCGCGGTCGAGTACATAAACTGCGGTAAAAGTGTGTACTCCCGCGTAGCGAGAGTTTGCAAGAGGGACACCGGCGGTAAAAATATACTTTCACAGAATTGGGCTACATACCTCAAGGCCAGATTGAATTGCTCGATACCTGGCGAGTTCCCGTTTTATTTCAACGAGATACGTGAGTATCGACATATTGTATAAAACATCATATATTTTAGCTGTGTGACATTTTTTTATGAAAGTCACACTTGTCTTTTGAACTTTTTTGTTTGAAATTAAATATCTTTAAAAATACTCACAATTATTTTTCTCCAATGATAACGTTGACATTTAACGATACGAAAAATCTTTGTGCTTTTGAGAGAGAAAAATTACTTTCGTTACTTTCACGTTCACATTCTAACTGATACAACTAGCGTGACATGTAATTACATTATTGCATCCTTGCTACTGCTCAGAGAGCATTTACAAAGTACCGGGTGACGACACGCATTTCTATGGTACCTTTACCACATCGACGAACGGGCTAATGGGCTCCGCGATATGTTCCTTCCACATTGACGCCATCCAAGAGGCTTTCCGCGGAAAGTTCAAAGAGCAAGCGACTAGTAGTAGCGCGTGGCTACCAGTCTTGTCTAACAAAGTTCCGGAACCACGTCCAGGCCAATGCGTTAATGACACAGAGTCGTTGCCGGACACTGTTCTGAATTTCATAAGATCCCATCCTCTGATGGATTCCGCGATTTCGCACGAGAACGAGAAGCCAGTCTTCTACAAGCGGGACGTCATGCTTACGCGACTGGTCGTCGATAAGCTGCGAATTGACTTTGTGGGCATCGATTTGGATTATACAGTCTACTACGCCGGTTCCAGTAAGCAATCCATTGAATATCTGTCGCAATCGAGATTTCTTTTCGGAAAATGCATGTTACACGTGTCCTTTCGTCGCGCGTTACAGGCGATGGCCGCGTTCACAAGGTTGTACAGTGGATCGACAATAACGGCGAATCCCAGTCAATTCTGCTGGATGTCTTCGATGTCACGCCGGGCGAACCGATACAGGCGATGGAGATCTCGAAGGAGCATAAGGCTCTTTATGTGGCGTCGGATCATCGGATAAAGCAAATCGATCTGGTAATGTGCACTCGACGATACGACAACTGCCTGCGATGCGTCCACGATCCATACTGCGGATGGGATAAGGACACGAATATATGTAAACCCTACGAGCCAGGGTAAGTGCCCGTCGCATCTTCCGCAAGCACGATTGTAATATTGCGAATATATACGAGTGTCAATATATCCGAGGCAATTTGTTGTATTGGTAGTTTTATGCAAGATGCACACATAAAATGAATAAAATATATTTGATTTTCGTCATAATTTACTTGCTTGATTACGAATTACGCCACGCAGATTTTGGAGCAGAAATATTCGCGCCGATTTTACGCATCGTATATTTCAGCTACCGCAGATTCATTTCCGTTCGTTGAAACGAAATACTTTCACGAAAATAAAAAATAAAATAAAAAGAAAATTGCAGCTGGTGGCGAATCAAAATTCAATTTCACAGAATATTTTGAAATGAAATTACCGCAACGTGAATGTTCGAGATTACATGTTTGCGACAGAATTGTCGCGCGTGTAATCATGATGTTTTTTTTTTTCTTTTTCACGCAGCCTTCTTCAGGACGTGTCGAACAGTACGGCGGATGTTTGCGACAGCAGCGTCGGTAAACGGAAACTGGTTGTCACGTGGGGTCAGTCGGTGCATCTAGGATGCTTCGTAAAGATGCCGGAGGTGTTGGCGAACCAGGAGGTGCGGTGGTACCATTATAGCAAGGAGAAGGGAAGGTATCAGATCGCGTACAAGTACGGTGCTGGCGGCGACAAATTCATCGAGACCTCGGAGAAGGGTCTGGTGATCGTCGGCGTGAACGAGCAAGACGCCGGTAGATACGACTGCTGGCTCGGCGGTGCTCTTCTGTGCTCGTACAACATTACCGTGGACGCGCACAGATGTTCAGCACCCGCCAAGTCCAACGACTACCAGAAGATTTATTCGGACTGGTGTCACGAGTTCGAGAAGTACAAGTCGGCGATGAAGAGCTGGGAGCGAAAGCAAGCGGTAAGTCGATTCATTCCCCCTTGGACAATTTATAGCGCCGACTGATATTTCTTCGGGAAGTGTTTTTAGCCGTGAGCAAAATAACATTATCGTATATACGCATTTATCTCAGATATTCGTATCACCATCATATAATATGTGTAGTGTGTGTGTGTGTGTGTGTGTGTGTGTGTGTGTGTGTGTGTGTGTGTGTGAGTGAGTATAGGAGAGTGTATGTGTAGGATTGTCATAAATCGAGCCGTTCAAAATTTGCATTGCAAAGCGATGTACTATTCAGCAGATTCTACATATATTCAATTATCTTTATATTCATCGGAACGGGTAGACGGAAATTAAATATTTATCACGAAATTGCGCGTTGCGAGGTAGAGTTTATTGTGGGAAAATATACCTGGAGGTATAACTGTAAATCGATAATGCATATCGATAAATATAATTGCACGGTTGATAGCGGCAAATGATAATTACTCTGTGATTGTTCGTGCTCTTTATGCATTATACAACGACAATTCTTAACGCGTATCGGAATCAACTTGCACGGCAAATTATTAATGTGGCTAATTTTTTTTTTTTTTAAATATTTGCTGTGTATAAATATTTATGCTCATTAAGTCGGTCATTGGATTTACGTTTTATTATATATCATAACAGACATTTATAACAGGGTTTATAATAATCTCGTATAAATATGTTATGCGATCGACCACGATATCTAGTTTTCCCGAATTCGCGCAGCGTGGCGATCGTCGACACGCAGTTCCGAACACGTGGCACGATACACGAGGCAACGTTTAATACAATACCGTTGGGGAATCGAGTTGCAACTCCCTTCACAGTTTCGACGCGTGCTTTCTCTGTTACAGCAATGCGCCTCGAGGCAGAACGATAGCAATCAGAATCTACACACGAACGAGGTGTACGGCACGCCTCTCGTCTGATGGAGCCGATCTTTGGGTCCCTCGTCGAGCCGAGATCACGATGACACGATGATACGCATAAGCGTCCCGCCGAGGAATCGCGGTTGGACTACGACTGGTTGGATCGGTCTGGCCTTCCTGTTGGCCGGTCACGCCACCGTGCTCGGCCCATTGGTCACTCGAGGACTCTCAAGTGACTGAGATCATGAATCCATGATCCACGAACTGTCGAACTGAAAATCCAAAGGTGTGGAAAACGCACACGCGTAATCGATCGTGCATACCGCTATCCACGTGCCACTGTGCCCGAGAGCTTCTCGGCGCTGCTGATCGCGAGTGGCCATCGAGTTTATTGGCGGTCGGTGACCCGCGAGATATTCCAGTTCCGTTCTCGTCGCGCACCCGACTTTCCGTTATGTATATTTCGTACTCGCTTCGCTGTAAATAGACGTGTCGCACGCGAGCCGCGAAAGTGAAACCGGACGCTGCGGAACCTTGAACGCGGAACAGCGGGACGATCCTCGGCTCGTAAATTCCGATATGCGCAACTGGACTGGAAGTGATGTTCCTCGGGGTGAACGGACGATACCTCTTGTGCCGAAGAATCGTGACTAAAGTTGCGATTTTTCATATCTAAATCGGTCGGCGCTAAAAACTGTATGGAGAAACACCCTTTCCTTGAACCTTTTTAATTAATTTACCGTATCGAGAGGATTTATGTGTACATACGATATCGAAGCCTCATTTACGGAAGACGACGCAACGTTAATCACGATATCATCGTGATTGAGATATCGACCATCAACAGGACATCGAGATTAAACGTTACGTCGAAGGAAGAAAGCATGTTCTCCTGCAATATTTTTCGCATCTACAACAGGAGGCGACCGACGAGCGAAATCGAGGTGTAATTTCCCGACAACAGAGATGAGAGCATCACTTGAAGGATAGTCGTCATAGCAAATGGCCTGCACTCGTGAGGCTGAGAGGAAACGGCGGCGTCGGTCGAGGAAAGAAAGGTAAAATGTCGCGTCGCGGAAGGAAAAAAGAGAAGCGAAACGTCGCCAACGGCGCGTTTACGACGTCACGCAGGTTACATATGAGATTATTATCGGCTTTAGAGATCTTCGTGCGAGCCGCCGCGCTGCTGCACTCGCGCGACGCTGGTTAGCTTTCCATATCACGTTCGCCACTCTTGCGGCGCGCACACGCCTATTTTCTACTTGCACCTAAACCCTCCTCTCGCACCGCACCACCGCGTTTTTCTTCATTTTTCCCTTCATATATCGCATCTCGACGATCGCACGAGCTACCGCCTGTTATCTTTTGTTTGTCTTCGTGCCGTTCTGATCATCGTCATTATTCTTCGCGTATTCACCTGAGACATATGGCGAAACGAGTGCGCGATGACGCCGCGTTTTTACCCGCGCGCATTCGCATGGTTTTATGATTGTGTTGATAAAAGCGCGTTGTACTCGCGTTGTCGTGTTGTATCGTGTGAAACTCTCAAAAAACCGTCGCGCTTTAGTGCGCAAGGAACCCCTCGCGTCGTCATCGTCGAGAACCGGAGAACCTTCCCTCTTTCAAATCAAGGTGCTACACAGGTCTATTTCCTTCAAAGGAAGAGAAACCGGTAAAGATCTGTGATCTCAATTTCGCATACACCCCGTCTCCCTCTCATCCGATTCTTTCCTTAACGGAAACACACGCGCGTAATACACGAGAAACGCGTTACGCGCCTAACGAGCAACTAACGGCGGCCGTTACATACGCGCCGGTGCACTGTACATAATACAGATTTAGGAGTCACGTGTACACATTTTCCGCTTAGATAAGTCTAATATTAGCGTAGGAGATATACATGTTTGCTTATAAGTTTTCGATGAACACGGCCAGAGAGATCTCTCTCGTTGCATCCTGCGGTATCACTGAGTAAACTGGAGTAACGTCCGCCAACAAAACTAAACGCGGTGCTGGGTCATATCGAGGCGGGCGATCGTTTCGACGACTTCCGGACTCGAGGCTGCGTGGACTATCGGAGCCAGCATTGCGTTTCTACGCGTGTATTCGACGCGTATAGGCTTTGTCATAGACTACGATTGGATTGAGCCCATAACGCAGCTTGCTCGTGAAATTTGCTTCGCCCGAAAACCAGCTGCAGTTTTGGCTGTATGTTGTGTCGTTGTACTTGGTTTATCTTAAGACGTCAATATATTACACTTTAGTTTACAGAAAATATTTTTTTGAATTATTTTGAACCAGGCGATTCTTATAGATTTTTATTATTAGAAAACGATACCACAAGTCTCAAATTTTGCCAATACGTCAGTTTTCTAAAACAATTGGTTTAATATGCAAAAAGTTACTTTTCGCGACATTTAAAGATTTTTTTCATAAAAAAAATTAATATCTTGAAATGATCAGAAGAATTGTTTATAAAATGCTTTTTTTTATTTTGATATCTTACTTTTCAGTCATGTTATAAAGAATTTTAATAGGAGTACTAAGATAGCACAGACAATACAAGAGTTGAAATAATTTTTTGAAATTAATTATTATCATTATTAATCCCTTGATATGCACAATACACACAACTCAAGATCTTCGTGATGATAGTCGCTTATGAATAAAGCACAGCGAGAGAATTAATTAGCATGGCGAAAAAGAGACAACAATAAATATCAATATATAGTCGAGTGTCTTTTTTAAAAATGGAAAATAAAATTATTTTGGAAATGTGACGTGCTGGAAAAATTTGATTTGCTGCATCATTTTTAGCTGCATCAAAGAATCTCATTATAAGAAACACTTTGTCTGGCTCAAAATAATTTTTTTGCTGTAAATTAGTGTTATTGACTTTTTTTACTATTGTCATTAGTATTTGTTATCCTCTAGTTTTCATATTGCTTAAAAGATTTTATCGGACTGTACGATCTATTCGAATATGAATCTAATCGAATCAGATGAGATTTGGTTCAATTCAAGTTTGACTCAATAGGCCTGTTCTATTTAGCTGAATTTCTTGTTTAGTTCATCCTTTTTTTTTGTTCTCCATATATAGAAAAAAATCTTATAATTCGAATCTCTCTTGTTCGAAAGTTTTGAATCTAGGTTCAAACATGAATCATGTAAATTCGCAATTTTATAAATCTTATAATATAATTTTCCGTTAAAAAAACGGCTATTTTATAAATAAAATAAAGGAATGCATTCCGTTTCGCACATAATTGTGCGCATAATTTCACAACTAAATCAATAATATATTTATCATAACTATATTCATATATTTATTCACAATCATGTATCAATAATATATTTATATTTGTTAAAAATTATATTATTTAATGATTCGATTCGATTCGTCATCAAAAATTCTTGATTCGCATATCTGTAATGAGAACCGACGTTCTCGACTTCGTGATTCTCTGTATAAATCACAGCATTATATTTTTATAAAAATGACAGCAAAGACTTAAGAATGCCAAAAGAATTTTGATTTGCTATTAATATTTCTAATTTTATAATTATCTAATTTTATAATTATTTGCACTCACAGCCAAGTTCAGCGACCGCGAGAAAATTATGTCTCTGAACAAGCGAATGTTTTTCAACGGTACAAACGGATATTTTTCAACGCGCGAAAATGAAACGGAAATTTCATTTTGCTACGCTTTATCATTAATATTTTACAACTACATACGTCCTCGATTTAACAATCGTCCATAAAAATATGATATGAGGCTCGGCACTATAATGAAAATAGCGTTCATGTTAGCGTCCGTCCGACTTTTCCTCGGAGATCTCGACATACATTTTGTAATCAACGTGACAACAAATGTCTACCGGTGCTCATTCAGCGCGGTTTGTCGAACGATCGGCGTATCGAGAGAGCACCCAGTCAGCCATAATCAGCACACGTACACATAGGCTATAAAAGAGTAGTAAGGGAGGTCATGACGCCTTTCTTTCGTACACGGATTTTAGTTCCCTCAAATATTTTGTCTCGCATCGGTGATAGTTTTACTCTTAGCTTTAAGTTTGTACATAGTCCTTTATATCGTAATATCGACAGTATCCTCGGTAATACGGCAGCGCGGAGATGCCCGATCGATCCGCTCGGTGCGCGCAACTGTTAACTTCTGTACAGATATCGTCGCGATTGACGATTTACCTTTTGTACCTATAAGGCTCAACCTATACGAGAGATGGTACCCGGTGAGGGAAAAAGACTCCGATAACAAAATCCGTTGAAGAAACTTGAGATCGAAATTCCGGAGTTGTACCTAAGCGAGATTTAAGAAGACATAAGAGAGTAATACAATAATCGGTAATCTAATCCTCGAGTATGTACTTATTATGAGCTTCAACAAGTATTGGATAGTATTACGACGTAGAATTAAGGCTGAACACACATTAGAGATAAAATCGAGAGACTATCGGTTCGACCGAGCCAGCCGCGACGTCGCGCGGATCGATGAGGACTCGTCGTCCCTCGTCGCTCTTAAAGATTTTTCGCGCACGAACTTTGCGATTTTGGCGAAAACGAGAAGACGAATCACTCTTCGTCGATCCGCTCGGTCCACTTGTATCTACAAATCATCCTCAGATTCCTCCAGCCGACATCCCGGATCGTAGGTCATACAGACGCATCTGGATAGAGAGGAGCAAAGAGAAATGCGGTCGAGAAAGATTGTACGCGTGTGTGCGTGCGTGCGTGCGTGCGTGCGTGCATGCTTGCGTGTATGTGCGTGTGTTAGATTGCGTGATGTCACAGATCGATACGTAAAGAATAGTAACCTACCTATCGTATATCTAAAGAAAGTTATAAAAAGAATAAAAGCAAACGTAATATTACGATAGAATAGTAAAGTACACGAACTTTGGCTAAGAGCGCCTTCGTGCAGTCCTTACGGACCACGTCATGTCAACCGCGTGTTTATGATAACGAAAGAGAGGTAAGGGGTGAGGGAGGATATATCGATCGTAGGTGATGGTCCCCGTTTTACCCGGGGGTAAAACGGCGAGAGAGCGCGTGTCCGATGCGAGTGCACGAGGGCGCACTTCGGGTTGGAGTAGGCGTGATCACGGAAAGCAATCTAAGTTGAACCTAAAGTTGTTAGATATATTATTTGTAAGATTACTGTATGTTGCGTGAATGCGATTGATGCGGCGGGATATCGCGAGCGGAACGATCGATCGGCGACGTAGAGAAAGGTAGTAGCCTGCCCGGCCAGCGAGGCAGGTAGTTTTGCCGTTGTTTGTCGAGACGTGAGCTCGAAACGCAGAAGGAACGAAAGAGAAGGAAAGAAAGAAAGAGAAAGATCTTAAACATCACTGTCTTCGAAATCCTAATCGATTATCCCGCAACGTCGACCGCGAAGGCGAGATAGACTATAGACTCGGTTTAATGTACGCGATATGAGACGACCTCGGGTAACAACCCCCGTGGTGGTTACTCGTGTAAGGAAATGCAATGGGGGAAGAGACGCCCTAACTGAATAATTAGTTACGATGACATACTACTATGATAGAAGAAAGTGAAAGAAGGATAGAGAAAAGCCCCACGATAACGATTTATTAAAATATATCACTAGGACTAGCCAACGACTGTCTTAGGTTTCGAGTGTCGGAAGCGTAGACTCGTTTCTCGGGTGGTATGGCGGTGGAGGTGGGATGGGACGGGGAAGAATTTGCTACACATGGCGCTGTGTGTACCCTTTACTTTTTTATCCTGAAGATTACAGACGCGGAAAGACGCGGGAATGATCCGTTGACCGATTTCCTCTTAATTTCGTCTGCTTTTCTTTCCGCTCTCGTGTCACCGGTGCCGTTTTTCTCCCGTGACCGTTTTTCTTTCCCCCTCTTTTTTTTTTACGGATTTATATCTTGCCTTAAAGCAGAAAATTGGAGCGAACTTACGCGCGCGCGCGAGATTAATAGTCCATTCGTATCGTGGAAAACTCATCCTTCATCATCGCCGTATTTTTCTTCGTTCTTTCGGTTCGCTTCTTTTTTGCATTCTGCTCGTTCCTGTCGACAGCAGAGCGA